TCCTAAAAATTATCTACTAAAACCTGCAATTTGGGTGCAGAAATCTAAACACAACTGTGCAACGATGAACTTTGTTATGAGGAGAAACAGTGTTCACCACAAGGACAAAGACAGGAAGACTTTTGTGACTGCCCCTTTTGACTGATCCAATGTAAATTTAACTGAAACTCGGTGCAGCTTACGTACATGCCAGAACATACTCGCGGCTCAAAAGTGAAAAGAGCAAGGGTACCGAATTTGAGAGGCCGCAGGTTCAACTGGATGGATGACCTGACAGTCACACTCAATCATGGACATGGGATAGAACGCAGGTCAACACAATTTGAGGGTACCGGCTTTCAGTAGCCTCAGTGACCAGTGCCAGTTGATTGTACTGTCCATGCTTTTGTCTGAAACGTGAGCGGTTTCGGACAAATTTTCTAACTACTCACTGAAGTCCGATTGTACTCACATACCCTGCCCGACAAGTAGGATCAACGTATAATATTCGACACGAGCATACGAAGGCTCGTATTCCAGAAAGTCAGACAAAGAGGCATTCTCATTTTTATTTCTCAGTTCAATTCTTTCGATTCAACGGCAAAATACCCGAACATTGGATCAAATGAGGTGCACCTTTTAATTTTTTACTACTGATGATGCCGGAAGTAGTCAGAACTACATAGATTTTCATGGCACTCACGGCCCACCCGATCCGTGGCCAGACAGCGGTGCTGTATGTCGCAGTAAATACCTGTTACTCTTACTGCTCACGTTTTCACGCAAGTAAGTTCCGAATGAGTGCATTATAAATCAAAAGGGGATAATCACCTATGGTTGTAAATAAATGCCTGCGTTCAGAAGTCATTCTGGAAATTGCATCAATAAAGTCCCCGTTTTGTTTTCAGTCGACCCAGTACAACCTTCTAAGGACCAGAGTCAAAACCCGAAGTCTATAGCACAACATTTGGTCGATTTATTCAGAGACGTCTTATTCGATCACACATACAATTACTCATAGTAAAGGGGTAAAAAAATCATAACTGCGTATTACGTGTCTAACCACCTCAAAGCGATCGGTAGTGCATCGAAAAAAGTCCATCGTTCTTTTGGCGGTAAAGCGAGACCCTCTACTTAGTTACCCACAATGCCAGCGTGAATTAATGAGTATAGATCTGTGTTTTCCAAACAGCACTAGGTTTCTCGAAATTTTACGAAAAATGGAAATTAGGTGATAAACTAACGGTAGATGAAAGTTAGGAGAGAAAAGATTCTTGGACATTTCGTAGGGGATACCACAAAATTTCTATTAATCTTCTTTGAGAAATTTCTGGCCATATGATAGTCTGGCTGTAAAGAAAACTTGAGACCGTCCGCCCAATGCATGCAAATCTAACTAGCTCAGAAAGGAAAGCACTGCATAAGTTGCTTGGGACTCCAGAGTGAGAAGTCGTTAAATTAGGAGCTGATCAACACGTAACCACGTGATTTAATTGGTGTAGCTGAATGGTGATTGACTGTGTTCTCTCTAAAAGACGGCCAATAAGTGCTGATCGGCTGTTTGTGGCCAGAGGGTTTGGTCTCCAATTTCCGAAGTTCACCGAGTTCGAATCCTCACAGAAATCGTTGGGATTCGCGCTACTGCTTATCCTAGTCAAGGATGGAGCAACTTCTCTCGGCTTATCAATATGAACCGACCGTAGGTGAGGGAATAAATACACTTAAAGTTAAGAGGATTGATCAAAACTTTCCATTAACGCTGCTTACTCAACAATCCTTTATTCATGACCGAAGCTATTATCAACTTTATTTTGTTTTCCGGGAGGAATAAGTCTTAACAGCTATCCGCAGCATTCAGGCCTCGACATATAATATGACCGGGAAAGATGAACTTTGCGAACCCAAGCATCCATACAGTTCCAACGAAACAAATGACTTCCAGAACCGACCAACAATTGTGCTTCAAAAAGCGCTGCCCCCGAATATGGAATTACCGCTGTCACCTGCAGTCACACTCTCCTGCCACAGCCATGCAGGTAACCACTGAATGGGGTCCAAAGCTGTCGATCCGAAACCAGACGAAACCAACAGAGAAAAGTCTAATGGACGAGGTAGTGGGCGGAATCGGGCACACTGACCCAGGAAATCACATTTAATAGACCAGCGTCATGTGGCTGCTGTTTTGCTAATTTAGGTAGCCCGGAAATTTATAGCCTTCTAGGAAGCGATGAAAAAAGTGTTCTTGAACGGTACTGCCTGTTGATTGGAGGCCTACTCTAATCACATTTTGCCTCCACTGTGGTTATTGCGCTGCTTGGCTTACAACCTCACAGTGTTAACTCTCTACTCCATGACCTCCCATCCATAGCTTTTTCTAAGCTTCTAGCCTCAAATGTAGGATGCCTATAGATCGCCGCTTACCTAGCGCGCAAGTATCTTGTCTGAAAATGGGTTACTGCTGAGGAGTTACATTTTTTGTAACAATAGTGGAACTCAGAATTGTCATCTAATGTGAGAACACTGAAAACCAAGACATCAGGTCAATTTTTCCAACTTGTACACCATACAGTGATTGCCGCAGTTTGAATAGTCTACTAGCAACCCACTCCAGCCACAACAATACGCTGTTAATAAGTAAACTTGGCGGTCGTACACGATAGGGGAACACAATTCCCCGGTTGTGTGTTTGAGAACCCAAAGCAGAAACTGAGTTCTGTTAGTGAACTAGTAAGCTTGGACAGGTGGGTCTGTCCGCTTCTACCTTTCGTCAAATGAACCATCTGGTTTTGTCAGTACAAGTCGGCTACTGATACACCTATTGATCAACAGCTTCGGTGGGTGAAAATCTTTAACCCCCATTACTCGAGTCACATGACTTCTTGCGCTCACCACACTTACTATGAGGCTAGGGTTCACTCAATTTTTAGTCGGGATGTAATCATGTCCTGGCCTCAATGACAGTCAGCTAAATGCATTCGCTCACGCAATTAAATGTAAATAATTGTCTGGCGAGTCTGCAAGTCTACGCAGTGTGACGGTTAGATGTGTGTCCGGATAGTTGGGGGAACTGCTATGATGCCGTGCACATGTGAAGGCCCCAGATTTTATGGTTTAATTTCATCTCAAAGAAAGAACAATATACCCTCGGAACAGCTAGGACCGACACCTTTTCGGAGGAATTCTAGACATAATGTGATTTTGAGAGATTTCACTGAGGCATACAATGTCTAGAAAACCAGCACTCTTTCGGAAAACTGATATCGCGGTATAGAATGAGATAGAGAACTTCGTTGTTAGTATGTTGGACGTGATAAGTATCCAGTACATGGATTCGGTCACTAGAGAAGATGCAGCACATAGCGCTTAGTGAAGTTTGGACAGTCTTTATTTACCCACAGACCTGAACTTTTTGTCAAGTAGCTATGGAATGGCGCCTTACCAAACAATGCCTGAGACCGCTTTGAAAATCCTCACCTGTTCACGTCGACAGACGATAATAACAGGCAGTCCCGTACCGGTGTAAGACATGTACACCAACCCTGCCTGTTCTAGTCGAGAGATATGAACCCTGAATAACATACAATTTTAAATTAGTCCTATAAGGGAATTCCTGATACCGACTCAAATGTCGGTGACTGTTACGCGGGACCATCAGCAAACTAGACCAGTCCACTGCAGACACTTTGACGAAGAAACATTCTCGGTACCACTCTTCCTATGACTCTACGGGATCCATTCATTCACAGAAACGGAACATTCAGAACTGACGCAATTCTCACTTGTCAAGTAATGTGGAACTACGAATGTGTTTCTCCTATTTTCTTACTCACTGTGTTCACACTGGATACGATAGAGGCATAAGCGCTGAGTGCAATAGAATTACGGTCATCGCAGACGTTGTGTTCCTTTGTTTCTTTTCGACCAGCTGGCACCATATCCTATAAATTCTTCTTCCTGGTTGCAGTCGGCAAAGAAAGGGTGGCTGACTCTGTACGATCAGAAGACTGCATCCATCGCACCTTGTTCACTCATTCGTTAGTGACATTTGAAATCTTGAGTAGCCGTACACTTACAATTCGGTAACCGTTCAGTTGGTTGTGGGTTACTTTACCGTACTGATCACCCGCCGGAATCTTTCTGGCTCTTGGTTACATACACGTGGTGCTATACATGTGCGAAGCCGGATATCTGGGATCCACAACAGATCTACTGGAGCTTCAATTGAATAATCTATTCAGACCGAATGAAGTTGTCCCTTCGGTGCATGCTCGTGACCAGACACACAAAGGCCATCATTTTATTCATTCAAAGTTACGCGATTCGTTCACATGATATTTATGCGTTAGTTGATATTCAAGCACATGTTGTGCATAGACGTTCCGTTAGCCCAGTAGTATCCGAAAACAGTGGGTGACATAGAGGTTTAGTTCAGACACACAAAGGTCATCATTTTTTTCATTCAAAGTTACGGGATTGGCTGACATAATATTTATGCGTTAGATGATATTCAGGCACATGTTGTGCATAGACATTCCATCAGTCCAGTTGGATCTGAAAAACATTGGGCAACAGAAAGGTTTAGTGTGTGCTCCTCAACATCCACCACTTATTTCGCCCCTCTTAGGGTTCATCAGGTAGACTTAGTTACCGAGCTTCCATCAACCCAGATTTCCTCTTGAACACCAAATTTCACGCAACAGACAAAATACACTCATCTGCAAAGTGAATTTGCCTGAATCCTCTGTTTATGATATTCATCAACTAAATTTGTTTCACACACGCCGTTTAATGTTCAGTTTGTGAGATAAACAGGACATAACGCTCTACTCATCGGTAGCAGGTTATCAAACAGCTTTCAGCAACCAGATGAGCAGCATATTTTACCGAGAAAATATAATCCCCGCTTAAAATTTGAACGCTGTTTTGAAGGCATCCACTAGGATTAATAAATTTTTCTTCCTTTAGTCCAAAATTTTTATTGCTTTGGAACTGTATATTATGCTTTGTTCTGCTGTAATAATTACAAAATAATCAAATTAGCCCCCAAAGCCACAACCACAGACGCCTCGTGATCAAAGTCATCGCCATTTGTAGGTAATAGTCGAAGCAGCGGCGGGTTTGGACCAGTGGAGCGTGTTGATAACGGTAAATGGATCAGTTCAACCCAATCGCTACAAACTGCGCTTCCCGCGTCGAAAACGGCCGACAATAACTTCACTCGATCATCTACTCGCGTGAGAAGGAATGCTCGTGTGGGTTCAATGGAGAGTGACTGATTAGTGGTGGTCTTCGAAGGCGTGACAAGCAATGAGTCCAGCATACCGGACACAGTGGATAGTTTCATAGGTAATTGTGTGGGGTAGAAGGAATGAAGCCACAACTGAGTCTGATTGATTGAATTCGAGTGTGCGATAAGGATTGAAATGCTTTCCAAAGGTGCCATTGCACAAATTGTTCCTAAAAATGACAAGAATCAGTAGGAGACAAGTGAAGGTTGAAAGAGAGCATCAACATGCAGCGGTGCTAGATTTGCAAAGCTCTGTGTCAAAAACAACGTCTGGAGTTTACTCTACGAAAGTGGCACTAGCAAGAAATATTTTGAACTCTTCAGAATGCGAAAAGTACGTAATTTGTGGAGCCAACGCTGTCAAACAAAAGGATAAATTTGCCAACTTTCCATTGTGACAGGCAACTTACTAATGACGTGAACAAACGAAGGAAGATCGGGCAGATGAGTCACCATGAAAAGTGCACACTAGATTAAAATTTGCCGGATCCTAGGGGAGGTTTACTTGTCGACTGTAACGAAAGCTTAGAAGAGCAGCTATTTGTCTAGTGTACGTAAGACTGGTCTGCGCTTTCAACACATGTACCCCCGACTTGTTCTTGAAAATATCCAAATGATTCTAATAATGAATGCAGTTGAATGTGTTGCTTTCCCTATGCACTATCAACCACGCAAACCGAAGGCTGTGAATTTGTCTGTTAGCTTGTAAAATTTCGGGTAGATGAACACCATAACGAAGGTGAAAATCAAGCCTGCAAATAAGCAACTCAACTTTAGCCTAGCCCTTCTCCATATGCCATAGGATGGGAAGTAAAGAACCCACCGTTAACCGTCTGAGTGCCTAAGCATTGTTTATCTGTTCACTGATTCCCCGAGATCTTAGTTGCCGAATAAAATTCTCAAACTCCTCACTTCGTAACATGGAAATCCCTATAGCAATTCCTATTGACAGTACACAGAGATCACACGGATGGATATTCTAGGTGATAAAGTCATTAAGCTTGATTAATATTGATTTTGAAATTTCGAAAAATGAGTGAGACCTTTGAATTGATTCACAGAAATTCCGTCATGGAACTTACCAGCTACTTTTACAAAGCTTTACTCTGTGTGGATCGCTTATACCGAAACACATTCTATTCACGAAACTACTAGGTCGGTCTAATGCTAATCTGGTGAAAGATTCGAACAAACAGCATGGTAGATACTAATCCACATTATCAATCGAATCGCAAAGAAAAAGACCATATAGGTTTGGCTTCAACTAACAACTTGTCCTGTTGGATGAGCTTAAAGTCCTGATTGGCTCTAATTCAAATACACCAATATAAAGTGGCGAATGGTTAGGAGCACATTAAAACCTCAGTTACGTCCTTTAAGGAGGAAAACAAATAAGGGTTTTGTGAGCTTGTAGCCCCGTCACCACAGGATTAAACTTTATACTCATGCGTAATAAAATACAGCAGCTTTAGAATGCTCAAACCTATTTTATGTTTGATAAGCAACTTATACATGGGTGATGAATACTCGCTCACTTTTATTATGGGCTGGCTTCTTCTGGACAAATTTAACTTTGAAATTGCTGCCCAAGTCGCTCCCAGACACGCCGGTTTTTTCTTCATGAAAATGGTGCTTCTCAGCAGCATTTTCACTTTTTCCGATTGGCCTGACCTCAACGAGCGAATCCAACAACAACCAGGCAATAAGATGGCAGCGTTCCAAACTAACCACCCGTTCATTCACACATTCGAACTGCCGTCGGTCAATGAATAGCCACACACTGAGACGTCGGTCACCGGAGATCGCCAACCAAAGCCATCTGATGAAAGTTAGAAAATTGATAAAGAACATATTATTCTCTGAAGTAAGTCCAATGGAGGCTCATCGAGAGTCCATTAGCTGTCGTCATATTGGCGTGGCCTCTGATGCCCTAATATAATTTCGCCTTAATTGAGCCCATAAGTTAACCTTGTGCTGTAAACTTAGATGATGTTCAATTAGGAAAACCTGAACCTCACTTAACCTTACGCACCTCCCTTCCCCCAACTAAATTGTCGTAACATTCACGTTCCCCGATGATCAAGGATCTACCAGTGGCACCCGGGGTGAATCATCAAGTGAAGCACCCTGAAGTGGGAGATTAAGGAACGAAAAGCGATCGGAAGTAATTTGAAACTCCTCTAACCCACCAATTCAAGATTTGACACCCACGCTAGCCGACAAGAGCTGTTAATTGACACTCAACACTGATCTAGTGTGAAGAGGACTTACTGATTGGTTCCCCGTCTGTCTTATAACCTGGCCAATTTGGTGACCTGTTCACTTGGCCTAATGAAGCTTTCGTGTCAAAAGCGAAACGTTGCCCAAATAAAAACTACCAATTGTTTACCAAGCTCTTCTGAAACGAAAACCAAAGAGCTTCTCTGTGATAACATTTTCCGAATTATTATCGACTTTTTTTATCGATCACGACAGGACTCAACGCTCACAAACTCTGCGGTCATAATTCTAGCAACCTAACATAAAGTGAGTCCTTTTTGCTGATGCTGGACTGCTTTATGCTGATTTGCCTACAGTATTCAATGTGAAGGACGAACCTGCTTCCATTTCACTGTGAATTCAGGTTGTGTGAAGCTCAGATGGAGAACCAGTCGTTCTGGTGCAATTATTACGGCCGTGTTCAACTTCGTTCATACTCTGTCCACCTAAGTTGGATTGTTCGTAGTAAGGAAGGAAAAAGTCGGGCCCTCGAGATCCGTGCGCTGAAGTGATGATTCATTGCTGCAGGTATTTTTAAGCTATTCATAACCATTCGTTATATCCACTGATTCATAGTCATGATTATTAATTACAGTAACTCGTACGGAGGGGAGCAGCCATGGGGGATGTACAGCGTGGACTTTCAGGCAGCCTTTACAGCAAGGTCAGAATTTCTGTACACTTAGCTAGAGATACCGAAATATCTCGCTACTTTCCCGTGCCGATCGGGTGTGTTATCGGTACATAGTAAGCCCATCTTCGCTGGGTTCGTTTTTTCCACGAAGGTTCCATCAAGCGCGAATTTCTTCTCTTCCACTAAGTCAAGGGCGGGTGCTCTCCAAATGGGTAAGTATCCAACGGTGCACCTGGGCGAGCCGTATTTTCCGAGCTTTCTGATTGTGTGCAGATGAAAGATGCGGAGGTAGAGAGCTCCAGAACTAACAAACAAGAACGGATTAGAAATGCGGAAGGCGGTCGGGTTGGCTGTACTTTGTGGAGGATTTCCCCCAAACATTCACCGAGGCTGAACGTACTGAGTAGAGTAGGTTACTGGCTGCGAGATTTAGAAGGTAGGAGTAAAGTCAAAAAGTAGGCTTCCATGGGCTTCTGAATTAGTGGTCGAGGCTCGGTAGTCGTTCCTCGGTGACGAAGACTGCGGAATAATTTAGTGGCTTGTCAAACGTCTTATTACTTAGCATTAGTCAAAGGACCCAGGGCTGTATCAGATGCAGCGCGATGTAAGTTACAATAATCGGTGGATTGAAGCTTGTTTAAGCGCCAGACAGGATTACAAGGCAATTTCTGACAGCTTCTGGAGCTATTTGGCACTGAACTAAGTAGCGCTGGGTAGTGACTTCTGAACAGGTTTTCTTGCTAGTGTTGCCACAGTTATGAGCGGAGGCTGAAGTGACGTAGCGGCACGATAAAACTTCCCCCTTATTAAGCGGTAGCTGTTTTTCCTGCCCATCATCATCATCATCATCATCATCATCATCATCATCATCATCATCATCAGCATGACATCAGTGTTCAACACCGATGCTTCACTGCCCATTATTGGCCAATAGCTTTTCACTTGTCGAGAACCAATAATCGGCCGTTTTCCGTCTCAGAGATGCCAGTTTTCTTGCTGGTCTAAGATGCATCAGGCTTTCTATTCTCCCCTCCTCATTCTGTTACACAAATGTTTTAAGGAGAAGCGGTAACTACTTCTGACGAATGAAAAAACCGGGCCGGGTTCATCTTAACCAGAACATTGAACACGCTGGACACTGTCAACCATATGGTGGGTCGGAAAGACAACATATGGGATATCCTGCACAGAAGTAGCGACCTGACCTGCGAGCTGAGTGACTATCCAGCAGTTTGCCAATAAATGCTTAACATAATTAGTTTATTGTCGCCTTAGCAGCCCAGCTCCTGAACTACACTGGTGCTTCGAGTCACCACAGGCATGGAGCGTTCCTACCTACCGATAATTTGTGATTTCAAGGCTATCCAAGACG